TCACCCAAAAAAATAAGAGAGAGTGATGCCAAAAATAGTATTATAGAATACGATCCCGTAGTGTAGAACAACCAATGTTCAACGACATTTTCTATACATGGGTCCCAAAAGAGATTGACAAAAATATAAATCAGTTGCTAACAGTGAGAGAGAGAGAGATTCTCATAGAAATGGATGGCTAGGATTTCATGTATCATATCTACACCACGGTGCACACTGCAAAGTGTTACGTAGTACAATCCTTTCAAATCCAATATACTAATCAGTGTTTTAAAACCTAGAAATTTTCAATTTGGATCACCGATCTTGATAAGAATTTGTCGGGAATGGGTTTTGGGATAGTATGTTCCCTGCCCAATTCCTTCCTAAAACCTCCCCTTTTATTTTTTCTTTTCCTTTTTTTTGAGTTTGTCTGATGTCTTTTTAGGTCCCCTTAAATCCCCATTCCATAAACACCTATTTGTATTTTTTTTGGAAGCACCTATATAGAGCAATGCATACCCAATCCAGATCGCCGATCCAACGAATCGACCCCTATTTATAAATGAACAATCCACCCCACCGATCTAAGCTTTGAAACACTGCTACTAATGCAAAATATCAAGGGAAAGTCTAGGGTCTAGGCTTTATAAAGCCGCACCTCATATCTCATAATAAATGAAATTGAGTTGATCAACTCACATCCTTGTACAATCATGAACATAAAATAAAAATAAAAATGTAGGTATTAAAATTTTTCCATCGTGTAACAAGTATTTTAAACTATCTATCTCTAACTGCAAACAAATATGTCAGATCTACACTATTTTTTGAGATTCAGCAACAAGATTTGTAGGCCATGGCAAGGGTTTCCGGACACTGGAGCAGCATTCCCTACTTTTAAGCTATAAATATTTGTTTAAAATACGTAATAAAAGTGTTAATAATGAATAAAGCCAAAAATTTTTGGAAGCCTTTCATATATGTTATCCATATTAAATATCTTATCCTTTTTGTCATTTCTCTATCCAGAAGCAAAAATGAACTATCATAAAGTCAAGGAATAAAGGAAAAAGAAATTATTTAAATGGGTAAAACAAATTAGAAAAACATAAGCTCATAAAAGTGGGTAAAAGTGAAGAAAAAGTTATTACAAGATTGTAAAGTAGGGCACCCATCATTCCATGTGCCCTGGCTTTTCAATGAATAGGCCCCTGTACTTCTTTTTAAGTGGAACACAATAAAAATAGGAGGTTCCCATGATATGAATAAATGCTCCCATTTTCAATTATGAAATGGATAAAAAATTAAGTAATTTTGGTCAACTTTTCTTAAAATAAATAAATAATCAATTAATTTATTCGTGATAAAACTATGGATTCGAACCACCAACCAAATGATTGAGAAAATGAGCTCCGTACCACTATGTTGCATGGGTTGATCTAATTTTACTTTTTTTGTTAATATTTTCCCTTTTCTTTTTTGAAAGGAAAAATTTTATGCAAAGTACCTACCCTATATTATAGAGAGTAAGACACATCTCAAATACCATATGGAAAAGGTTGTTCTTGTGTTAGGAAATACTCTAATTGATCATCTGGACCTCGAGATACTTAGATGTGAAAATATGATTTTAAATCTAAAAAATAATGCATCTTGTAATACATTATCTGAATTATTTATTTTTCAAGATTTTCAAGCGTTTATAAATCTACTCAATCTTAATTTGATTGTTTAATGTTGATACTTTATATAAATCACACCCTTTTTTAATAGTTTTTATTATGATTTTTTTAGCGGGGTAATCGTTTTCCTTATTACAAGTTGGTAAATTTTAGTTTATTATATTGTTTGAAAGGAAATTTCTCAAATTACCTACAGAGCTTGTAAAGATAGTTTATTACAATATACTATAGTTTTAGAGCTTGAATTTTTTTGTTTTTTTTCACAGCCATAAAGTTAAAGCTAAGTGATCGATTTAAAGGTTTTGATAGGGCTGTAGCTTTATTAAACCATTTCCTAAATACCAAGTACTTCAGAGAACGTTATGAACCTTGGGATTTAAAAACAAAGAAAATTTTTGCATAAGGTGTACTTTTTTTTTCGGTAATTTGTTAATGGTAAGAATAGAGTGTGGGATGTTTTGTTGAGGCATTATCCCGTGACGCCCCAACCCCATTCCCAATAAAAAGTATCAAACTTATACTGTAGAAGAATGCCCTCTTCAAAAACCCCTGAGAAAAGGTTGTTTTGAAGCTAGAATGCCCTTTAATTGATCATCTCAACCGCAAGTTATGTGGTTATGAAGAAAAGAAAAAGAAAGATTTCAAATCTTAAAAATAATGCATCTCATAACACAATTTGTAGATTGTCGTTTTCAAGATTTTCATGAGTTTATAGATTTACTCGGTACCATTTTCAAGCTTTAAATTTCATAAATAAGAATAAAAGTAGATTTTTCAAGTCATTGTAAGATTCCAACGTCAGAACTGCATCTTTCAATAGAGTTTGAATGTGTGCCTTACTTTGATTATTTAACGTAGAAGCACACTTTCAAGAATGAAAAAAGTTTGCAACTTTATGTAAAAAATCAAACTTATACTAGGAAATGTATACAATGATACTGTTTATTTTTTATACAAGGAGGTCACAATTATTGTTGACCATTAGATTTAAAATCAAGTGATTGATGACGTATCATTGTTCAGGCAGAAAGTCCAAAATAAAATTTATTGAATGTTGAGACATATTTTCATCTATAAGATTTCACATTCAATGGCTAAAAATAATTGTGAAATCTTTATACCAAAAATAAATGGTATCATATTATACAATTCCCTTAGACTATAAAAATAAGATTTATTAACCAAACTTAAATCTGGTTGAGGTTCACCAAAGGGTATGCTGGTAATAAAATAATCTATGAGAATAAGTGAACTTAGAAGTGATCATATTCCTAGCATCAAGCTATGGCCCTTTCTACCTAGAAAATCTAGTTGTAAGTGATAAAATATAGGGGTGGCAATGGGTCAGGTTCAAGGCCGGACCAGGACTTGGACTCCGACCCAAAAATATAATATGGGTCCTAGACCTGATTGGACCCAAACTAAAAATTAAAATATCTATGTATTTAACTATATTTAAATATTTTGAGACCCAAACAATATTATCAGATACAGACCCAGATCCGAATAGTGTTCGGGTCCAAGATTTAGACCTAGAACAGACTTATTGGGTCCAATTTTTGAACCTATACTCGGACCCAGATCAGGTCTACCCTTCAGGTCCTGGTTCGGGTCCGGGTCCAGGTCCATTACCACCCTTAATAAAATAATTGTTATTATATTATAGAGGGAGATTATACAATAAGAGCATTCCTCTTTGATATAGGAAGGTATCACCTAATTGTCGGATGTGAAATCTTAGAGTTTAGGATGTCTTTGAATTGCACTCAAAGTCAGGTAAAAATTTTCCTGCACTTTGGGCAAAGAAGTCGAGCATCCCCAACCACCTTCGCATCTGACAATAATGAGAGTGTAACCTTTTTGTACCAAAATTAATATACAATTGTAACCCTTTTGGCGATGGATTTTGGATCCAAAATTTGTAGACGACTATAATCATAAATTTAAAAATTAATAAAATTTGAGATTGAAAATAAATTATGTATAATTTTTTTCTATTAGTCATCTTAATTCTTCAAAAGTTATCAGATATGCACTATTTTTAGAGCTCCAAATTCATAATTTGTGGCTGTAATATTTCTAGAGATTTGAATTTATAAATCTGAAGCAAATTTCTTTTTTCAATGATTGGAATGTATTGATGGTGCCAAAAAAGCTGCAGTTTTTGCGGAGGCCACCATTTGGTGCTCCAGGCCTCCAGATTTTCTTAACCTTCTTTTATTTCATAGAGTGACACAATTAACTTGTTGTACGGTTGTAAACTAATATGATGTAATTTTTTTTATCTTTTATTAATGAAAGACAGGTAGAGGGCCTTCTCTCTCACTAATTTACCCTTAAAAAAAAAGAAAGAAAAATAAAAAGAATGTGTTGATGGTCCTAGATTCTTTGAAGACCAAGCAGACTTAGCAAATACTTTTCCATTATTAATTTTGTACTCCATTGTTTTCTGTTATGAACATGTATCGTTGGATCATACTATATACTAACTCCCTATGGTAGGTGAGCCACTTTGGCGTAGATTTTTTATCGTGAATTTTGAGATCTATTTTACAATCACAGTATGAGTATTTTCAAAAAAAGAAAAAAGATAAGTCTTTGAGTTTCATAAATATTTAAATTTGACCATCCAAGAATTAGACTGACTGTTTATTCTTATGATGTTATTTTTCTCAAGCACATATAGGGTAGGATGTTATTTTTCTCAAGCACATGGAGAGAGAGAGTTCCAAAAGTAGCATACATGAACATTAACTGGGCACTTAAATAACCGACTTATTTTTTCCTCATTCCTTTTCTTCTTGAAGGGTACACCCTCGATTATCAAAACATGAGAAAGAGAGAGAGAGAAGAGAGAGATAATTTGACACTTAGAGAGAGAGAAGAGAGATAATTTGACACTTAGAGAGAGAAGAGAGAGATAATTTGACACTTAGAGAGAGAAGAGAGAGATAATTTGACACTTAGAGAGAGAGAAGAGAGAGATAATTTGATACTTAGAGAGAGAGAAGAGAGAGATAATTGGACACTTAGAGAGAGAGAAGAGAGATAATTTGACACTTAGAAAGAGATAAGAGAGATAATTTAACACTTAGAGAGAGATTTTAGCCAAGAGAGAGAGACTTTAGGCCTTCATGGGCCTTCCAATGTGAACGAGCATTTGACTCCCTTTTTTTTGACATCAGAGAGAGAGAGGCTTGACATCAAGAGGAGAGAAAGAGAAAGAGGCTTGACATCAAGAAGAGGAGAGAGAGAAGCTTGACATGAAGAGGAGAGAGAGAGGCTTGACATCATTAGGAGAGAGAAAGAGAGAGTGAGAGAGAAAGGGCACCCCAATGAGAGGGAGAGAGTGAGAATAGTCCTTTATTGCTTTCCAATATCCATAAACATGAATGAGAGAGAGATTATTATTATTATTATGATTAAACAGTAGAGAGAGAGATTATTATTATTATTGAACAGTAGAGAGAGAGAGAGGTTATTCAAGGGCATTTGGGTCCCCCTCTCTTGGTCTTCCAATTAGCATAACAAGGGCAGAGTTGCTTGTTGCCATAAGTTCCAGGGGGTACACACTTGCACTTGAAGCAGCACTTTTGACAATAAAGCATGCATGGCTTATGATAAGCAGTCTCTGAACATCTATAAGAGCATGCTCTAGGGCACTCTAGAAATTTCACAAAAACAAATCAGAATATTTTATTTTTATATAAAAGAAAGTATATAATGAGACCATTTACCTTTGATACATGATAGTCACAATTAATCTTGACCATTGGATGTGAAATTAGGTGATTGCATTTATTTCATTAACCAAGCTTAAAGTTCAAAAAAAAATTTCTCGAACTTTATGACACACCCAAGCTATCATATTTCATATTAGATGGCTGTAAGTAATTGTAAACTCCCTGTACTTAAGGTTGGTCTTCTTGTATACACACCCCATACATAAACTTTAATTGTAAGGGGATTATATATAATGAGATCATTTACCTTTAGTACAAGGTAGTCACCATTATTTATAATCATCCGATGTGAAATATGATAGCTTGGATGTGTCACAAAATTCAATAAAATTTCTTTTGAAGTTTGAGTTTGGTCGATATAATAAATGCAGCGGCCCAATTTTACATCCAATAGCTAAGATTAATTGTGACCACTGTATACTAAAGATAAATGGTCTCATTACCTATGTTTCTAATTGTAAGTTCCCTTTTTTCTTTGGAAAAAAACAAAAAGAAGGAATTTACAAGCAAATTCCTTTCGTTAGGTAAGATGGCTTTATTTTGTATAGGGTGCAATGTATATCAGGTGGCCAACTTATAAAAGTAAGGTTGTGATTTCAACATTGCCTGTTTTAGTTGGACAATGTAGATTTAACATATAAGACAATGTCAAAATTAGATACTCTTTTATGATAGTACAAGCCGAATTAAATAGATGAGGTACTGGAGATTACCACTTCTACAAGTAAGGTTGTCATTTTATATAAGAAAAAAACCTAAAAAATACCTATAGGTAAAATGCTACAGCGTTTCGCCACTGCTACAGACTTACTATATATGTGGCAGTTTATTGAACGGACTTGTAATAGACATACGCCGTCCATTGCAGTTCTGCGTGAATTTTTGTCCGTCACAGACTTAGTATATCCATAACAATACCGCCACAGACATGCTAGGTCGGTAGAGGTCAAAAAATGCACGCCACCAGATTTTTTTGAATGGTGAAGAGACTATGGGAAAAAGGTGAAAATACTGTTCATTTTCACCCATAGATATCGTATAGATGCTTCCCTTATATAAACTTCTTTTTTTTTATCTACGAGACTTGTGTCTAATGAGATTGACTCCTTTTTTTTAGTACACAAAAGTCCCACCAACATCAGTCATATGCCAAAAAAGGGCTTTTGGGATGTGTGGTTTTTTAACAAAATTTAGCAAAAAAAATTGTTCGCTATTAATGGAACACCTTTAATCGCCCAATTTCACATCTAACCATCAGGGTTGATTGTAACCTTTTGGTACAAAAAATGATCATCTGTATTCTCAATGAAAATTAGAGGGGTAAAAGGTCCTCTTACTAAAATGAGATGGGTTATCGGAATGTTTAAAAAATGAGAATTAGCCTTGACTCAGGATAGTTCTGATTCTCGTTCTCCTAGCCCGACTCAGACCACCCTCAGTCATACTACATGGTACAATTTTAAATAAAAAACTAAAAAACTAGGAAAATCGAGCTATTCCTAAAATTTTTCATCTAAGACTTGTCCACCTCTTAGTTCTAATCCGAATCGGCGATTTTTTAATCAATGGGTCGCTATACTTGTGCCAAGCAAGTACCTATATGATCAATGTGCCTTATTTTTATGATCATATATAAGAACTAACCATATAAAGCGACTCTGTAAGTAAACTCGTCATCTATCACCGTTATCCATTTGATTAGACGGTGATAATCGAC